ACTGCAAAGTTATGGCAGAAGGACCAATTTCTGCCAAAGTGGGGTTGCACCGAACCCACGGAATCCCTCCTAGATCCGCAACTGACATACATTGTACAAGCTCAATACAAGGCACATTGAACATAACCAGTTTGTTTAATTATTATTGTGTACATTTATAAGAACATTCCTCACAAACTGCCGTTAGCAATATGTGGTCCCAAAATTTAGGCAAAATTCACAAATGTGGACAGTTTGTCTACAACAGAGGGAGAGGGAGCATCTACATAATCTAGTGGCAAATTATGATCAGCATACAAAGGGTAACTATCACAAACAAATAAGATGCAGTTTGTTTTACATAGCACCAATTACTATGCCTCCAAAATGGATAAACGAAGCACTATCTAATGAACATATTTTTTGTCAAAGTGAAACACTTCACATTTATTTTACAATACATCCAAACTTGGATTGCATATGATACAATAAATCTTAAACTGAACCTTGAGGAGGTAGTCTCACATTCAAGGTCAATCTAGTAGTAACTCAAGTAAGCAGCACATTGTAACAGTTACATTTAATTCTTTCTCTCATTTGACACATAAAGTACGTTACACATCAAAACACATAGTATGCTTGTACATGAGTGGTTTAGTAAGTAGCACTGTTATGCTACTACCATTTTACTCAGCACAATGCTACTCCAAAGTGTTCCACGCATGTTGTTGTATTACAATAATAGACTCAGCACAACACAAAGCTGGCACACAAAACATGGTAGAGTATGTCGCTAATAAATGTAGCTTTACTACCATAATCTGACACTCTGTATAATGCAACAACAGCTGCCACACAAAGTGTGGTATGGCAAGTAGCTACAATCAGAGTTTCTCAAGCAATCTGAACAACAACTATCACACAGTGAGTCACATCCCTAAAATTTAGTGACCTTTATCACTGATACATTAAAAAGCTGCCAGCCAATGATGATACAGCATCAAATATTTGCCAAACCCTGTATTCAAATGTCATATTGTCATTACAAGTCACATGGTACATGACCAATTTTTTTAATTATTATTGTGTATGTAACTTTAAAAATTTCTCACAGACTGCCATTAGCATAATGTGCTGTAAAAATTTAAACAAATGTCACAAATGTGGTCGGTTTGTCTAGAACTGAAAGGGAGAGGGAGTATCTACATAATTAAGTGGTAAATTATGGTAAGCATACAAAGTGTAAGTATCACAAACAAATAAGATGCAGATTTAAGGTGGAAACTAGCAGGGCATGTCAACTAGCGGGACATGTAAAATCTAGGTCAAAAATATGGTCTGTGTGTATACAGTCCGGTTTTATCAAAAATGTACCGTATATTTCTTGCTTTTAATGTTAAAGAAGCAATAAACTTCGAAAGACACGTATAGATTCTCTTCAAACAACAAAATACCTATTTATTACTAAGAAATGATTATCTTACTCGCATAGTACCAATCCATTGTAGAACAGTTCCTTCGGTACAGACAGACATATGGAATCCTGAGGTAGCTCAATCAGTTGTATATCAAAAAGTTTTCCATGCCTTAATCTTCCAATTAACACTTATCTGTTTAATACAAACAAGAACATAAAAAACAAGGTGAAGTAGGATTGTGAACGATTAACAAAAAATACAAAATGAAAATCCTACTCGTGACGCAAATTCTACTCTACATTGTACTTTACATGTTATTATATAATAATTACCAATCACCTTGCAATGTAGAGTAGAATTTGAGTTAAGAGTAGAATTTTCATTTTGTATTTTTGTTGGTCTTTCGGAATCCTACTTCATTTTGTTTTTATATGTTTTTAATGTTCTTATTTTTAATAATAATTCTAATATTTCTTCAGATGCAATTGTGATAACTGTTGATTTTACACAAACAGCATTGAATAGATATGCTGAAGGAATATCAACTATACTGATGACAAGTGAAATTAATACAAGTCTTGACTCAAGTTCAAGAAACTGTGACCTGAGAGTGTTTATCTTTCCTGCAATGTTGTAGCTATTCCTGTTCTTCCAGGCTGTTGTAAAGTTTATATTATCATTGCATATAATAACATTAATTAACTGTTTGTTTTTTTAATATAATAAATTGACACACTTGATAAATCAGTAACATGTAAGATTAATACTTTATCTTAGCTGGAAATCTCCACTAAACTATTACAATTGATTCCAAGCATAGCTAGTTAAAAAATATCTTGCTTCTTCCAAAGCTGAAGATCTGAGTATGTGTGGCCACACCCACATTTTGGAGCACATGCTTCTAAAATTAACAAAATGGCGGCAGATGGCATAATGCAGTAGTCACAGTATCACATTCCTTACTTGAAGAATGATCTGATGGCACATGGACTTGCACATAGACTGTTGTAGTT